GTCCGTGTGTGTCACTCGATGCAAGGCCGACGGAAATGCACTTGATGCCTCTAACCTGACAAATCCCAAATGTGTGTGTCTCTTTGTGTGCTTGTGCGTGCGCGCGGTGGACATCCGGCCTGTTAATTTGATTGCGTAACGGGCTTAGAGGGCACAGATTGTCTGGAATGGAATCCCGCTCGCTCAATCCATGATAGCTGCTGCCATGGAGAGAGGCTTTACACACACACACACACACGCACACACGCACACACACACACACACACATACGTCTACTTTGACATTTGAGGCGTTTAGCTGATGCTTTTACCCACTGCTACTCACGCTGAGAGCAACAGTGGAAAAAGCTTTAGTTCAACAGGAATTTAAAGCAGCTACACACACACACACACACACACACACACACACACACACACACACACACACACACAAGGAATACATAACAACAGCCTGGTTGGCATTATTACTCGAGTCCCACTTGCATCTATTTTTATTAGCGCAGTTAATAAGGGATATGCATGTGACGCTGGAAATGTTTCCTCTCATTTCCTCTCGCTGTCTGACACTCGCTATCCGCCGTTAAAGTAAACTCAGACACAGCCAAGATTTCCAGCTCCTTTTCCAGGCCAAACTCTGCAGTGCATGTAAATAAAAAGTGTAAATAAAAAGTTGACAAAAGGCGCCTAAAATAACCCGCGTGCTTGTGAAACTGAGAAACGGGGACCTACTAATAGAAGTTAAGGTAAAACATGAAGTTTTTCCCATTAAATCAGCTAAAGCTGGGAAATGTTTCCCCGACCCCATCAGAATGGTTCATTTCCTCTGCAGTAGCTTTCATTTATCGGATGAAGCAGTGCAACCTTCATACTATTATGAATGTAGTTTCAGGCCCTTGAACTGCACAGGCTGATCAAAAATGTGCAATTTTTATCTTTTCATAACTTGTTAAGTAAGTAAATAAGCAGGTGAAATTTTCAGAGCTGAGAAACTGCAACCAAAGCTGCTCAAAGTGGCGCCGTCGAAAGCAAAAATCTGTTTTTGTTCAGCACAATTTCTTTAAATGTCATCAGCTTTGAGTATCGGTGTCGTGGGAAAACTGAACCAGTTTCACGTCTGTGACAAAAATGTGTCTGGCTGATCGTTCGTGTGATCAGTCATGTGAAATTGTCCAAAAGCCTCATTCAGTTATTTCTTAAACAAACAGAGCCGAAACTTTCAAATGTGCATTGCATCCCCGCTTTCTTTCCTTCCCGCCGCTTGGGTCTGATCATCGGGGAGTTTTGTGTTTGTGAGTCATTATTTTGACACAGGCTACAATTGTTAGACGAGCTTATGTATATATTTAGCCTACCACTGGTGAAAACTTTTATTTTTGTGATTAAAAATGGCTTAAAAGTCTTCTGACATGATGCTATTCACCTTCAGAAGTTCAGGCTCAATCATTCACCCCTCTCTCCCCAGCCTGTGATTTTTTAACTCGATTTATTTAGTTTCTGATCTTTCTGAACATTTTTCCCAAGTTTAAAGCTCAAATCAGTGCGTTGGATACATCACAACAACTTATAGCCTGAAGCGGGTGGAGACCAGGGGAAAAGTGCACATGTAGACATTGTTATTGCTTCTCTGATCATTTCAGCATCACCTGCAGTTTAAAGGAGTGCTCATCATTTGCTCCACCACTATTTTAAAGCTTTTGTAACACAGCTTTACAATATAAAAGACAAATCTACTATAGTGAAGCACTAAAGAGATTGCACCGGTTTTTGTTTAGTCATCCTTGGACAGAAGTATCTGACTATTTAGCTCCATCTGCTCATGTCTGCTGTTGGTGCTGGGCACATAGTGTTTGGTTGGTGTATCCGAACTTCCTGCTGCTGCTACACGTTTATTAGTTCATGCATCCTGTTGACAGAGTGTTAGTATTGATGCAGGTACTCTTTAGCTTTCAGCCCAGTCTGCTTTGATTTTTGCCTCGCTGGTTTCTGTCTGTGCGGAAACGAGCGCACGGGCCTGAGAGGTGACAACAGGTGGAGGTAATCGAAGAAATGTCACCCGTCCTTTCAGGGGGTGACGCTCGCATTGTGCACATTGTGTCTGCGCGAGTGGGGGCGGGGTGTTTGCGACAGGTGGAGGATGTTTGGTGGGAAGCGTCCACATTGTGTCTGTGCTGGAGCTGAACCGGGTTGGCTGTGGGTTTTGTGGATGTTTGATTTGCGTCACTGTCGCCTCTGCGTCAGCTCCTGACTTTATGCATGCATGTCTGTGTCACAGTGTGGTTGTTGCATGAGCAAGAGGCGGACCACGCGACTAAATACAAGATATTTTTAAAATATGTTTGAGCAGTAATATTTGTGACACACAGAACTTTAGAAAACTCCTAAAATGTGAATACTTTCTATATTTTTCACACGTCGCCCTCCTTTCAAAGCAGGGGTGACTGTGGCTCAGGAGCCCGAGTGAGTCGACTCTGAAGGTCGGGGTCTCAGTTCTTCTAGTCTAGGGCAAGATACCCCGAGTTGACCTCAGTGCGTCCATCAGCTTGTGTGTGACTGTTGCATAGAAAAGGACGTGCTTGTATCGGTGTGCTGTCTGCATCAGCTGTTCCACTTTAGGTTTGTCTGCGCCGCTTCTACTTCTCGATCCTGTAAGTCGCATTCTGACCACCGACGGGCACTTTGTGCATTTGCACCTGATTTTATCTGGATTATTATAATTCTGACTTGAATCGCCATGAAGCCTGCATCATTGCGTCTTGTTGTTTACCTTCAGCACTGGTGTGCCGATTGAATCTGTGCACAAATGAACAGAGTTGTGAAAATGAGGAAAATGTGCATATTGGCGCTGGCTGAATACGAGCTATTGTATCAGCACAATAAAGACACTAGATACTGTAGGTTTACAGCCTAATACAGTCATACACAGATCGCAACTGGAATGAAATCAGTCTCTACTGATATGAACTGGGTAATGTGTTAGGAATGAAAGGACGCCACATTGTTTGATGGAAATGAAAGCGATCAGCCTACAGAGGGCTGAATTCAAAGTGAAAACATTTAGGTTTGTCCACTTTGCTGTAATTTCATCCTCCTGGAGCGTTATTGTGCACCAGGAGGAACCCAGGACCCACTGCACCAGACCAGTGGGACAGAGGATCCAAGGAGGCTCCAAAGTGCCGATGCCTGGCCTGTAGAAGTCTGTGCGGCCCTCTGTGGATGTGCCTCACTGGATCATTACTCACCCATCTTCAGACCACTCATGGTGAACAATGTTACAGGCAGTATAACGATCTCCATTCGTTCTCCAGACCCTTTCACGTGTGTCACATGTGCTCAGGCCCAATGGTGTCATGGAGTGAACACAAGGCCCATTAGACGACGTCAGGCCTACCCCTCACAGCAGTGAGACTGTCCTGGGAGACACACCAAACCTTCAGTGTGGGATGTGTGATGTGCCATCCTGGAAGAGTTGGACTACCTGTGTTACCTCTGCATGCTATCACCTCATGCTACCAGTAGCGACACTGACCCTACCCAAAAAAACCAGTCCTACAGAATAAACCAGGTGTTGCTTTTGGGTTGTTTCACTGTTGTCCTTCTAGTACACGTGAGCATAAATTGCTGAAGTAACCTTCGTCTCATAGAGGTGTCTTTCCACCACATATTCACAGCTGTTAAGGTCTTCATCTCGTCACATTTCTCAGCACACATCTGGATCAAAGCATTTTTTTGGTAACATGCGCTGACGTGTTAAACACCAGGTTATGTTACTCAAACATACTGATTCTTCTCAGTTCTGCCTCCAGGCCTTTATTCCTGCATTTACAGTTTTGTTTTGTTTTGTTTTTTTAAGGAAAGTGTAGTTAAATTCTGTATACGTATGCTTTTTAGCATTATTTAACATTTAATTATCTAAAAATGTTCCACTTGTAATCATTAGATTGTGATGTTGTGCAGCAAACTACGGCTAACAGAGCTGGAGCAGGAAGATCTGCAGCTGTAGAGGCCTCGAGGCAGATACTTAGTGACAGAAAGGAGCCATAATTAATGACATCTGAACTTTTTTTATGTGTCACAGATAAAGGAGCCATACAGGTATGCTAAACACAAATACAGGCATTAAAAATATTCAGCGTACAAAGCTGCTGACAGGGAATCAGCTCTGCCACGCCTCTCCTTTGGGAAGAAACATACCTAAAAGGCAGTTGCACACTGTTGCACAACTTTTCAAGGAATGATGTTGTTTAACCTGGAAATTGTACAGAAAAGATTCCACAGTGTTGTCAGGCTTAAACGTGCCTCTGATTAGGATTTTGAACTTCAGTTTTTGCTCCTGTCAGTGTCACACTTTGTTCACAAACCCAACCTTATTAAAACAGTCTTTAAAAAGCTGTTAAAAGCACTTCTATTATAGTTTGGTAATAATTAAACTGAATTGTTTCACTTCAATAACATCACCAGTATGCACATTAACAGCTTCGGGCTGTTTCCAGCCTCTCAATGGGCCTTTGGGTGTGTGTCTATTTATTAGAAGTATCTTTGCGGGAAAACCCCTGAACATTATTCCTTTCTGATAGATTTCTTCTTCTTGTGTATTTGCAACAACCTTCCTGGTCTGTGTGAGTCAGCATGAGAAGGAATAAACATGCAGATGAATGAATCTGTGTCTTAAATGAAATATTTACACTCCAGCATGTTCAGCTGACACTTTAAAGATCGCACTCATTGATATTTTTAAGTGAAATCTGCACGTGGGATGTTTCCCTGAACGCCTGAGTGTGAAAATAGATGTGGGAGTTTTCTTCCTTGTGGTATTTAGTCGTGGGTTGGAGAGTTATGTGAGGGAGTGGGGATCTCCAGGACACCTGGTGGAAACACTGGGTGGAAGGTTACAGCTGCGTGTTGGTTGAGGACTGGAGAGAAGTGGGACGGGAGGGGGGATCCCAGTTCCCTTCTGGATTTGGATCTCTCCTCCTCCTCTCCTTTTCCTCCTCTTCCTCCGGGTATCCCCTCACACTGACTCACAGACACACACTAGTTTGTCCGCCTGAGTCCAAAGTTATCGCTGCTGCAGCTCCCGGCTCCTCGGTTCAGTTCAGCTTGTGATGACACAGTGCGCCGCCGCCGCCACCGAGGCCAAGCCGGCATGCGTGAGCGCTCTCGGCGGCCTCATCAGAGCACTGAGGAGTCGGCTAAAGTCGCTCCGACAACTCCTGAGACCGAACCAGAACGGTGTCCGCTGGGAGAAACCTGGAGGGACGGTTTTAGACTGCTGTGGACCGAAGCTGTCCAGCCTGGCTGTGAGTTACTCTGCATGCGGGGCATAAAACGGTCGTCTTACATCCTCCTGGCAGTAAAAATGTGCTCATCAGCAGGTGATAAATAAGACAAGGAAGTAAATACTGCAGCTGGAGCTGTAATATTGATCCAATGCATTTGAACATTTGAAGGGGTCCTCACAGCGCTGACAGCTTTGATTTCAGAGGATATTTGGCTCTAAAATTGGTGGAAACTGAGGTTTCTTTTGAGTTTTCCTGCTTTTCTGAGCTCAGGTAGCAAAAGGACTGAGTCCCAGCTCGGCGTGGGTGTGCGTGTTTGTGAAATCAGCTGGTGGTGTGGTGATATTTCACAGTTCAGATTTACTGTTCATTCTGAAGAAAATGTTAATTTGATGACCTTAAAATCGAGACTGAAGTGTATTTGTTATACATATACTTATATGTAGGCAAGAATAATTCATTCATTGTGTATCTGTGTGTGTGTGTGTCTGTGTTGGGGGCTGTTAAGGCTTCAGGGGAGTCGGGTTACGTCCTCTCAAAATCTGACGTGTCCTACCATCAGCTTCAAAGGTCTTTGTTCCACAACAACATGTCAGAGTGTCGTCGATCTAATGAATACATTTCAGCTTTCCTCTGTTCAACAGTGTCTGCCCCTGCAAAGGTCGACGATGATGCTATTTTTAGACAGTATCTCAATTGAATGTATTTGTGTTTCATGCGTGACTGAATGTTGGTATGGAGTTATGTTTGTGTCCAGGTTATGTAATCAAAAAGAACAACGACTCAGTTTTGAGAGCGAAACTTTAGCTTACTGATGTGTTTCAGTCTTAATGAATTATGAGCAACATCAAAGACTGCACATAAAATGTCGCGGGGTTGTTTTTGTCATGTTTTTTGGACAACAGCTTGGAACAGTTCATGTTAATTAGGCCTGAAATCGTAGCGATTCACTCACCACACGAGCACAGACTTCTTCAACAAGCTGGTGCTACAACTGACTGCGCAGCAGCGTGTATTATATCAAATATTGAAGTAAAAAACATGTTTGGAAGAGTTTAACCCAGCACAGTTCTGAAAGGATGAAATTAGCTGGGTTTGTTTTAGCAGGATGTCTCTACTGTAAAGTTGGACATTTAGGATCTATTTTTGGAGACTGCCTCAAGTGGACAGTAGAGGAACTGCAGTTTTTGGCTTTGGTAAAATCCTCAGTAAATAAATAAGTGAAGACAGAAAGTATATTTCATATAGAAAAAGAGAAAGCTAGGTTGTAAATAGAGCTGGGCGATATGAGATTTTTTCATATCACGATATGTTTTTTTCATTTCAGGCGATAACGATATCTATCACGATATAAGCCAAATAACTATATTTGTAAGATTTAAATGTGCCGTTGCTCACAAGTAAAATGTGAAATAATCAGCAGCTTGTTTTGATTTAA